ACAAACGCCTCGCAGTCGCATTTACGAAGGGCTTCTTGCGAGGCCTTTGTTAAGTTGTGTGTATATTGTGTGTAAGTGTGTGAGTGTGATATATTAAGTATTGCTCTCATTGAATAATATTAACAATATTTTGAACACAATAAAATATGTTCTCAATTAGGGAGTAACTTTTTATGGGTGTAAGTGTTGATTTTCTACACAATTGACTTAAAAAAATATTTCTTAACGTTAAATTGTTGATTTTTACTTTAAAAAAAACTAAATACTAAAATAAATAAATATATTGCTACATGACTATTACAATAACTGTTTTTCATTAACATGAGTTACCTATCTATATATGTATAAAAATATACTAGATTTCAGTATACAGTCTAAATAAGTTTCATTTTCGGTTTCGGTTTCGGTTGAAAATCCTGTTTCGGTCGGACACTAGTTATTTTACAATAACCGGCCAAATTCGCAGAGAAGGTTCACAATAAATAGTATAGGCAAATGGTGAAGTAATATCAAGTTAAAAAAATCTCAAATATTCTGTCCTTTTTATCTTTTAAATTCAAAATGCGTGGTAATGCATTATTTTAACTGATTTTACTGCGCACGCACATTCGTAAGGGTCGATAGGTTGGCGAAAACGTTGTTGCTCATAAAATACATTCAATTTGAGATAATTTCAAATAAAAGTAGATGCCTTATTTACTCGTATTTTGAAAAACTGCTATAACGGTGTCTCATTATTTATATATTTGAACTTAAGTTTAAAATTTGGCTACCTTTGTACTTTGTACTATATAAGTACCTTCTTCAAGAAATATAGGATTCGTTTACAAAATATTATACGTAATTTATTCAGATAATATATGACAAAACTTCTGAGTAGATGACAAGGTTTAATATGTAACAAACATGTTGTTTTCATTACTTATATAACCAGTTTCGATAAACACCATTAAACTATAATGATTCTAAAGAGGACGAATTTAAAACGCCCATTTGTCAACTTTTAAAACGAAAGATAAAATTATATTCAAAAAAAAATTAAAAATATATATAAATTAAAAAAAAATAGAATGTACGTCTAAAAATATAGAAAGTATGAATCACGTTCACACATAATTTCGAAAAAGGAGTCTTAGTAAATGCCTGGGAAATCTTATGGCTTCCGATAGATCAAGCCACATGTAAACCGGCGCGGCGCAGCGCGGCGCAGCGCAGCGACGGAAAGCGGCAATAATTACGCTCTAGGGTCTAGATATCTAATCTAGTAATGCGACCACCTGTATAATACCCATATCTAGCAGTGGACTGCTGATGGTGTAATTATTGGCGGGTAAAACGGTATTAAAATTTCCAAAAGAAGTTATTTCGCGGCTTGATGGAGGCTCCTATATATTACAGAATCTTATTAAATTCTATCACTACAAGGTCTTAAGGGTATCCATTCGCTTTCTTTAGAAGAAATATAGCGTTGTGCTGTAGTGAGATAATAGGATATAAAATAATAGATTATCTTACTTTAGCGATTAACTACCACGCTGCAATTAATTTTCGACTTCAAATAAACTATTAGATCTCGTATATGACAACTTCTTTTAGTGTGTAAAATAACTTTAAGTATAAGTTATTCACTGATGTGTCAAAATACGTACCGGACACCTGACTTTCAAACATGATACTTATCACCATCATCAATTATCAACGTCATCAGTCAAACCTTCTTATAATATAGCCTAAAAATATCACCGAAAAATAACGACTATCTTTTGGACGGCAAAGCGTGGCGGTTTGTTGTTGATTAAATTATATTGAATTCAGATGGTCCATGCAAATCACTGAATGTATAATTAAAATACAATATAATAGAATAGAATCAAAAGAAGAAAAAAATTGTCCTGGCAAAAACCATCAAGAAAATCAACGAGACAATTTTTTAAAATAGCAGTATACAAATTTTGTTGTAAATATAAAACTTTTATAGAAACTATAAGTATATAGATACTAATGGAAATAAGAGCTATGGCACCAATTTTAGTAGTTATTATCAAGCACATATTATTGAAATTATTACATTAACCTTTAATTATAGTTTCTGTTTAATAATAGACAGAATTTGTGATAACTAGTTTTCTAGCATAAATTACATTTACGCCAGCAATTTATTGACTTTGCGGTCAAGTAACTGATATTACTAGCTTGATAAACCTGTTTTATTTTTTCTTCGTTTCCCCATATTATCAAAATCTACCTATTTAAGCACATAAAATATTTCAATTTTTTTTGTTTAATGCTGTGTACCTAAGTAATGTAGCTAATTTAGATCTAGACAATATGTAGATGGGAGCCCTACAAAAGTCTAATTCCAACGAAAACCGTTAAAATTTTAGCTTCTCACAAATTGTTGTTTTTTAAGAACAAAAAAATTAATATTTTTTAGGCTTTCTCCTATTATCGTTTCTGTAATCGTTTTGTAACGAATTCCTAATTATTTTTGTACACTTTCGTCTAGGGCGTCCCTTCCCGACTCTGCCGTTCACCTCTGCAACATAAATTTGCTTTGTCACTCTTTCCTCATTCATTCTTTTTACATGACCAAACCACCGAAGCATTCCTTTCTTAATCCTGGTCACAACATCATCTTGCAAACCACACTCTTCTCTTATCACACAATTTCTCACTCTGTCATTCAGATTCATTCATCGACCAAATTGGCGATATATTGAAAATGGGCCAAATCAAGAGTACCTTTAACCGACGAGCGTGTATGCGTAGGTATATGGATGTGGAAGAAGCGAGAGAGGTGTGTCAGGATCGTGCAAAATGGAAGTCCATAGTCTCTGCCTACCCCTCTGGGTGACAGGCGTGAGTGTTTATATTATATTATATTATATTTTGTACACTAAGTGTTTATGAAAATCTGGATCAGCTATGTCTGACTTTAGAAAGGTCACCTGAGAATTTTATGATTCTATGACTATATCAAGAGCCATGTGATTGCGGCGTAAGAGAAACCGCTATCCTATACTACCCCGTGGATATCGCAAGAGGCGACAGTGGGAAGCTAAAACAGGAGATGAAGAGCAGCATCTTCCTCATAACAGCTTATTAATAATAATAGAAAAACTGCGGTATTTTAACCTGCTATTGAATGAAGGAACAATAAAATAATTTTGATATATTATGTTCATATCAACATATTGTTATTGTAGTGTAAATGTACAAGCTACAGGAAAGGGCAGGTTATTATATTAAAATAAATATTTGTTAGAATAGCAAAACAGTTGTGGTGATTGGTGCAATATAATATTATCAAAATGGGTAATAATATACTGGTACACAGCATGTAGTTATGAAACGTGAGAATATCCGGAACAGGAATAAGCAGAATAACAAGAGTAATTGACATAACCACATCAAACAAGTACACTGAATGGTAAAGGGCCGACCAAATAGATTGAAGAACTGACAACCAATGTGGGAGAAAGGTTCTCGAGTGATATCCTCGTAATGGAAAGCGCAGTTGGTTGACCACCCATATTAGATGAAGTAAAAACCTGATGAAACCTTCAAAGAGTCGATGGATACAAGTGTCTTAGGTTAATGCTTTGTAGCAGTCTATTATATTGTAACTATAAAATAGCTTATTTTAGAAGTATCTTAAAAATCGGTAGAAAATTTCGGTATCAGTGATATATAGGTATGAATTCCCTTACCAGACATCAGAAAATGTATATGAGCACGAATAACTGCCGAATCGAATGTTATGAAAACTTTATCAGGTTTTTATTATGTATCGAATGAAGTTAATATCATAATTTGTTCTCGGGATATACAAGACGACATATCCACTAAAGTACGAATTAAGAATAAGAATTATCTTAATAACAAGTGCTAAAATTAAAAACCACCGACTTCAATATAAATAAAATGAGAACATCATCAATTTAGTCGAAGTCAATTAAGTACCCATTATTAAGGATAACTCTTGAGATTATTTAAGAGTTATCCTTAATAATGCGTATTGAATTGACGTAAGGATAATTAACGACTTCAAAAACGAGGAGTTTCTCAATTCGACTGTATTTTTTTTATGTGTCACCTCAGAACTTTTTTCTTAGTCGACCGATTTTGATGATTCTTTATCATTTGAAAGTTGGTGCTTCGCATGTGGTCCCAAATAACAAGATCTGACCAGTAATTTTTGAGTTATCCTTAATAATGCGTACTTAATAGACTTCGACTACATTGATGATGTTTTCATTTTATTTATATTGAATTATTTAAATTGAGTAAAAAATTAGTTCGCATAACATGTATATTATTTATTGTTATTTCAATTAGTCGTAATCGTGATCATCTTGTTGAAGCTGACATAAATAGTAGGCCTTCTACTAGAACTGTCATTGAGAATTTGAATTGCAATTGGACATAAAATTTTCATATCAGACGATCATATTTTTGCACGCAAATTTCTTTCCTATACGATTACATTCGGACATATCTTTTTAAGATAAGTAAAATATGACGGATCTTTATAGCAATATGTAAGTGTTTCGCTACAAACATTATATGTAGTTTAGGTGTTATGTAGAATTAATATAACTTACAAGTTATAATTCCGGGTAGTTCTTTTCTAATGTAATTTACGTGTGTAAAAGACCTACAAGACATAGCAGAATTATCTAGTGTTGAATCCGTCTCTTGTTTGAATTTGAAGATGATGCTGGATCTACTTTTTATGAAGAATTATGTACAACTTTGGAAATTTTACACGTTTAAATAACTATACTATAACAACTTCAGGCAGGCTAAATGCTGAAGGAAGTTCAGTCAATGGTAACCAAAGTAATATAGGAAAAATTTGTTGGAATCGAAGATGTTACTTAAGTTGTTCGTTTTAAATAAAAACTCTACTCTAATACTCTACAAATATTTATCCATACAAGTACAAGTGCATTTGTAACACTTATTTCTCAAAACATTAATAGAATGAAACAACTTACCCCTCACAAATTAATAAAGCTAATACGATTATAAATCTGTTCGTCTCCATTTTACTACTTAACACGAGTTAAAACTTAATTTAAATACTATTAAAAATATCACTTTTAAATATTATCACAAGATTTAAAAATTAAAAGTACTGTAGGTTCTTGACATGATTTGTTATTTATAAAGGACTAAAAGTATCCAAGTGACTGTATTGTTTAAACCCGAAGGTCGTTACGGTGAAGTAATTTTACGTGTAGCGCGCGCAGAAAACGAACGCGCACTGTGATCAGTGTGATCTTGCAGTTGCCTTAATGGCTGTATATTGTATAACACAAAATACTACTAGTGCCTGAAGTAATATAGTGATAATGCATGCTTCACATTGACAATTGTCGTCAAATCAGCGTCGATTAGGACTCTATCCATTTTTATGCAAATGACCCACACATAAACATCCATGGAGGTATGTAATGTCGTTTTAAGGAGTAAATATTTTATTTGTTTGCATGCTATCTCAAAGATGTCATCTTGCACTTTCAAGTACATTGTGCGAAAACGCCTTAATATTTTTATATCATGATTTAAACATGCACATGTACCGTTTTACTGTTATTCTTTATTAATTTAATTAACTATTACCCCATACTTCTTGTGCAAAATTTTTCTAGTAACTGTTTTTTCTAGCAAATTTTGGGCTAAAATTATTTTCAGAACAGCAGATGAAAACGTAATGTTCCTGCTCGCATACCTTATTACAATCAATAGGTCTTACCAGCATTAAAGAAAAACTTGACGAACCTTTATCTTTTAAACACCAACTTAAAACGTAGGGAAATATTTTTCTCCTTTTTTTTCATTGCGTTTAAATACTACAACTTAATGAAATATTGAGAACACAACTTGATGAGGCTTACATGCGCAAGCATGCATCTATGGCAATCTATAATTATGACGATAATGATTCTTATACCTTATTATGTGGTATTATTTATAATATTATATATTAAATTTAGTTAGGCCTTGTCAACCCTTCGAGAGAATGCTACAAAACATTAAGACCCCAACCCCCCTCTCAACGGAGCGATTGTGCCTGATTACCAATTAGCATTCAGTGGTTGGCGAATCGACGGATTGATTCGAGGGCGATCGTGCCTATTGCGGAAAAAATGATTTTTATTTTTAAGCCGTCAGTACATTGTTTTTTAAAGAAACATGAATTTCACCCTTACCACGTTACCCATTTGCAAACTTTGGTGCTAAGGTACTATGCTACAACATTAAATTTTTGTCGCCAAATGCTGAGCAAAATTAAGGAAGATTCGGAGTAATTCGATAAAATATTGTGGAGCGAAAATCATCGGTCAAAAGAGATGGATACCGAAATCTACTCAATATATGGCATAGCTGGTGCGCGAGGACAGATCCCAATATCAATACAAAATTAATTATTACACTGGAATATTGAATGGTCAAATTACAGTCCCATTCGAATTGCCAAGAAACCTCGATGGACAAGTGTATTTGAATTTTTTACAAAATGATTTACCTCTTGAAAATGATTTACCTGATGAAAATGATCTCTAAGAAGAGGTGCTTTTAGCGGTCCGTCGCAGTATGTGGCTGCAAAAGAATGGATACCCAGCACATTACACAACACCCGTAAGGGGGACTTGAACGAGCTGTATCCTAACAGATGGATCGGCCGTTTAGGACTATTTTGTGCACTATTTTGTGGCTAACACGATCGACAAACTAAACCGACCTAAACCCACTAGTTTTTTTTTTCTATTGGGGCTGCTTAAAAGAAAAATACAAGAACTGTGTCAACGTGTTTTGGACGCACCTCGAAAAATTATTAAAAAGGTCGTTCATAAGAAGATGTAGAAGTAGAGGCAAACAATGTCGCTGCGACAAAAATTTAAGGAAATTAATATATTAACTTTGACTACTCAATACATTTATGAAAATTTAATGTACGTACATAAAACTAAAAGTATTTTTACAAAAATAAGTGATATTCATTCTGTAAATACTAGGAACAGACACAAGCTAGTAGTACCAGTTACTCGACTCTACCGAGTCAGTAACTCATTCTTGGGGCGATGTATACGCTTTACGATAAAATCCCAGAAAATATAAAAAAAATTGACTTGCTCAAAGTTCAAAAACTTTATTAAACTAAGTTTGTATAAAAAGGGTTATTATAATATTAAGGAATTTATGAATGATAATAACCCCTGGGAATGAGGTGATCGCTACCAAGCTATTTCTAATTTGTTTCGTTGTTAATTGTGTAAAAATCAATACAATCATGTATTGTAGTCTGTTATTTTTTTTAAAAGTCCCGCTGGTTTTCGTACTGGTTCTTTCTAGGACAGGGGCTTTTTCGAACCAGTGGTAATTAAATAAAAGAGTGACTTTCAGTAAGTATTATTTATAATCTATATTGAATAAAAAAGTTTCTGTTTCTGTTACAATTTGAACACTTATTATCATTAAAATAATATGGAATATTAGTTTTAATGATTTCAAAGTGGATGAAACGAAAGAGCAACACTAAAAATAGACAAACGCAATGTATAGGATTTAGGCTGCGAGAGAATGAGAGAAAGATAATGAGAGCGACAGTAGTCTAATGGCAAGGTGCGGTGCGGACCGCGAATTCAAATGGTTGTATCCGTCATTTTTTAAATTTAATACCAATAGTGCTTAAAGAGAATTTTAGTAATGTTAATAGCACTGCTAGTATTTTTTTAAATAGTGTTTCCCATTATTTCGGGCGTCTTTTTGGGCAGTGCTTTAAAGATGGTTAATATAAATTTTAAATATTAAGGGTGCGTTTGCAAATCGGGCCAAATTATGCTGTTTTTCGGTACATTTTGTGACAAAACTAAACCAAATCAAATATAACTAATAACTACAACGTATAGAATGGTTCTTTATCTTCAAATGGTGGTAACTTTTTTGTTGAAAATAATAGTTTTTTACATTGTAAAAAGGATCTTCCCTAGCCATCTACTACAAAATTAACGATACCGGCTCATATTTCGGTACATATTTTGTTCTATTATCAACATATATTAAGATTTCTAAAAATACTTTAAGTAGGCAGACATATTCAATAAAAAATGCTGGTGATTACTTTTTATCAAAATGTCACAAATGGTCGTAAAAAAAATAAAAACTGATGCTTATTTTTTGACATATTTTGCTGATACGGATGAATCCTAATGGATTGCAATAGGGGTTATTTTATTTTTAGTGTCTGTTTTGATTTGTTGTACAAAAATTTCGATGAAACCACAGTCGGCGCTCGGCCGCCATCGCGGGTAGTCGCTGTATCGCCTGCAGCAGCTGAAAAAGATCGCTGTACAAACACAAAATATTCGAATTTGATACATAGGTACATGACCTGACAAAGTAAAATAATACATACATAATATAAATATTTTTATAATCACAAATTCTCATTACGTTCGAATGTTTTGTTTCGCTAAAAGCAAGTGGGATTTATAATATATAAATATATATAAATCCTATTCGTCTTGGAATTTATGGAGTGATCTGAAAGTATACGGTGAATGCTACTAGAACTCCTCGACGAGTTGAACTAGGTGTGCCGAGTTTGGGCTCATTATGTTAGTTATGACGAGACCTTACCTCCGGACTTGAAGGAATGACCTGAAGGTGTACTTCGGTAACTGCTAGTGGAACTCCTGGACGAGTAGAACTAGGTATGCCAAGTTTGGGCTCGTTTTGTTAGTTACGACGAGACCTTACCTCCGGACTTGACAGAATGACCTGATGGTGTACGTTGGTGACTACTACTGCAACTCCTGGACGAGTAGAACTAGGTGTGCCGTGTTTGGGCTCGTTTTGTTAGTTATGACGATACCTTACCTCCGAACTTGATGAGAGACCTGATGGTGTACTTCGTAACTCCTGGAAGGGTAGAACTGGGTGTGCCGAGTTTAGGCACGTCGGAGAAAATATAAATGGTATTACCAAATTCAAGGGCAACTGCGCATCATAACTAACAAACTCGGCACACCTAGTTCTACTCCTTCAGGAGTTGCAGTAGTAGTCACCAACGTATACCATCAGGTCATTCTATCAAGTCCGGAGGTAAGGTCTCGTCGTAACTAACAAAACGAGCCCAAACTTGGCATACCTAGTTCTACTCGTCTAGGAGTTCCAGTAGTAGTCACTAAATTACACCATCAGGTCTCTCCATCAAGTCCGGTGGTAAGGTTTCGTCATAACTAACATAATGAGCCCTAACTCTGCACACCTAGTTCTACTCGCCCAGGAGTTCCAGTAGTAGTCACTGAAGTACACCATCATGTCTCTCATCAATTCCCGAGGTAAGATCTCGTCATAACTAACAAAACTAGCCCAAACTCGGCACACCTAGTTCTACTCGTCCAGGAGTTGCAGTAGTAGTCACCAACGTACACCATCAGGTCATTCTGTCAAGTCCGGAGGTATGGTCTCATCGTAACTAACAAAACGAGCCCAAATTACGCATACCTAGTTCTACTCGTCCAGGAGTTTCAGTACTAGTCACCAACGTACACCATCAGGTCATTCTGTCAAGTCCGGAGGTAAGGTTTCATCGTAACTAACAAAACGAGCCCAAACTTGGCATACCTAGTTCTACTCGTCCAGGAGTTCCACTAGCAGTTACCGAAGTACACCTTCAGGTCATTCCATCAAGTCCGGAGGTAAGGTCTCGTCATAACTAACATAATGAGCCCTAACTCGGCACACCTAGTTCTAATCGCCCAGGAGTTCCAGTAGTAGTCACTGAAGTACACCATCAGGTCTCTCATCAATTCCGGAGGTAAGATCTCGTCATAACTAACAAAACGAGCCCAAACTCGGCACACCTAGTTCTACTCGTCCAGGAGTTGCAGTACTAGTCACCAACGTACACCATCAGGTCATTCTGTCAAGTCCGGAGGTAAGGTTTCATCGTAACTAACAAAACGAGCCCAAACTTGGCATACCTAGTTCTACTCGTCCAGGAGTTCCACTAGCAGTTACCGAAGTACACCTTCA